GGGAGAGAGAGAGAGAGTTTTTGAAGTTGGTTTGATCAGAAGTGAAAATGGATTGGAATCGTTCGGCCGGAACCAGCAATCGATCGTCGCCGAAAGACGAGTTCACTGATTTGGTGCTTTCATGGTCTCTTCAAGACATCTGTAATGATAATCTCTACAAAGACCAGGTTCTTTTCCTATATATATATATATATATATATATATATATATATATATATATATATATATATATTTTGCATATATATATATATTTTGCACGATTATAAATTCGACATAATATTTTATAAGCACAGATGCGACCCGAGAGAGATGCTCCAATCAGTTGGTACACAACAGATGCTTTAAAGAAGATGAAAGAGCACGGTGCTATTTATCTCACGCCTTTCTCGCATCGCTTGGCTGAAGAGATTGACAACCCTGAGTACCAGCGCCTAAGATGTAGAGTGAACTATCATGCCTTAAGATTTAAGCCTCACATTATGGAGCTGAGTAACTCAATTGTGAATAGACTCCGTGCACAAGGTCGCTTCATGGCCATACATCTTCGTTTTGAGATGGATATGCTGGCATTTGCCGGGTAAGTTCCTACTTCCATAAAGATTACCATGCCAGAAACTTTGTCTCTATTGAAATTTATAATAAGAACCACCTCCCCACACTCTTATGTCTTGCATATGCCCCCACCATCTTTAAACCTTTTGAAGAAAGACAACAGACCAGAAAAATAAATAAATAAAGGGGAAGAACAAATAGAGTAAGTGGAAACAGATGGTTGTCACAGAGACTTGATAATTACATGCCAATAATGATTAGTGTTCGCAGATCACTGCTTAACATTGCACGATTGTCTGGGAAAATAATGTTTTTGAAATACATTTTAGAGTTTGAGGTTATCGAAGTCTGATTTTATTTTTTTCCAGGTGCTTTGACATTTTTACTCCAGAAGAACAAAAAGTTCTGAAGAAATATCGAGATGAAAATTTCGCACCAAAGAAACTTGTTTATAATGAAAGAAGGGCAATTGGAAAATGCCCTCTAACTCCAGAAGAGGTAATTCTTCAATATTTGGTATTAATTTCGCCATCTTTTGCTTGCATTAAAAAAGAAATGATTTTCCAATGATCTAACAGGTTGGTCTTATCTTGCGAGCAATCGGTTTCGACAACTCAACCAGAATATACCTCGCGGCAGGCGACTTATTCGGCGGTGAGCGGTTTATGAAGCCTTTCCGATCCTTATTCCCTCACCTCGAGAATCACAACACAGTGGACCCCACCTCTGAGCTGGCGAAGAGCACAAACGGCCTGGTGGGCTCCGCTGTAGACTACATGGTTTGTCTCCTCTCAGACATATTCATGCCAACATACGATGGGCCGAGCAATTTCGCGAACAATCTTCTTGGCCACCGCCTATACTATGGCTTCCGCACGAACTTACAGCCTGACAGAAAAGCCCTTGCCCCTATCTTTATTGAACGGGAGAAAGGGCGTACAGCTGGATTCGAAGAATCCGTCAGGAGTGTGATGCAAAACACAAACTTTGGTGGACCCCACAAGAGGGTTTCGCCCGAGTCGTTTTATACGAACTCATGGCCTGAGTGCTTTTGTCAGGTAGAGGCTGCTAATCAAGCTGATAAATGTCCACCGGACAATGTTTTGGATATCTTGGACAGTCGGTTGAAAACCGAAGGAATCGATGATTCGGAATCTCTAACATCAAATTCAACGGATTAAGTAGGACCTTTTTTCTTCTTCATTTTTGTATCGGTTACTTCAGATGAAAAGGGTTCACATTGGAGGGTGTCTATAATGATTTGGCTATGCAGGTACTTCTTTCTCTCTTGATTATATACTTTTGGTAATATGTATAAACGTGTAACTATAGAATGTCTCTTTTCGAAGGATAAAATTCGATTTCTGCGATTCACAAAGTACAAACTTCTTGTTGTCCAGAAAGTTGGTAAAATCATTAAACTTTTTGTCCTACTTTTGCAGTCAACCTTATTTCATTTGCTGGTTAGCTTGGGAATGGACCAAATTGACCCTGGCAATAAATTGCTGTGCCCGAAAGTAGTGAAGGATCTGAGTGGCACTTTTGGAAGTTTGCTATATGTAAATCTTGTACTGGTACTGTGTAAAATGTAAATGACCAATTATGAAGTTAGTTAACACTGACCAAACTATGGATTTATGGCCCGTGAGCTAAGGTCAAATTACGAAAAAATCCCTCATGTTTGGGTAATTACGACCACTCTAAAACAAAAAGAAGAAAGCTATATGAATAGAAAAATGATTTATTGAAGAGAGACTAAATCCTAAGTAAATCTACATAGAAAATGAAGATAGGTACAATATTTAAATAATAAAAAATCTCTAAGTAAATCCTACTTAACAGAATAAAGCTAACCACCTCCTAAAACTCTCTAACTAATTTCCCATGTTTACTACTCATGTCCAACTAACTTGCAGGAAGTTGTACTAATATTTTTGGCACACCCCAGTGTCAAATTTAGTGGAATTTTCTAGATTATGTGAAATATTCTCCAGTTTATCCCGTTTTATCCCATCTCAGCTCCACATTTTGAAACAAGATGATTATAAGACGTGTCTCTCGACTTGTAAATACTAGATTGTGGTACATAAAAAACTACATTGTTGTACAAAACGAGTACTCTAGAGAACATTTCAGGTAATGTAGAAGATTATGTTGAATTTGGTACGTAAGAGTGGACGCATAAGAAGATTCATAGTTAAGGAGGTGGTTGTAATTATCCGAACAAAAGATATTTTTTCCTAATTTAACCTTACCTCATGAGAATGGCCGTAATTTACGAATAAACAAATAGTCATAGTTGTCGAACTTTAATTATTAAAGATTCTTTTGAAGCTTTCAACTTTTTGATTTGAATCTTAAATAAATTAAATAAGAAAAAAGTTTAATCTAACTATGAAGTTTTACTTGTATATTTTATTTTATTGCGAAGAGGTCCTTTCCTTGCATGTCTAAGACGACTTTTTATAGGGAAAATTAGAGAAACCCCCCATATAGGAAATATAGTTAAGGAAACACGTTATCTCAAAAATAATTAGAGAAAACGCCTTTAGTTAATATTCCACCCAAGTGATATTTTCATAATCCCAAAATTACTCTTAATTGTTTATTATACTCTTTCAAAACCCTAATCTTATTTTTAATTTTCCATGCCGCTTTCTCGTTTCCAGCTTTTCTCTCTTCTCTGTTTTCTCTCCTCTTTTTTTTCTCTATTTTCTCCGGCAATTCTCTCCCCGCCGCCGCCGGAAGATGGAAAAAGAAAAAAGAGAAAGCACTCGTCGTCGACGTGTGGAGGAGAAACACTCTTCTTTCTCAACAGCCTGTTCCACTCCGTCAGCGTGTGGAGGAAGAAGAAGAGAAACAAGCTGTTGAGAAAGAAGAGAAAGCACTCGTCGGAGGAGGACAATCAACGGAAATTGTTGATGAAGGTAGTTGTATGTTTTTCTTTTTTTTACTTTTTTTTTTTTTTAACTTTTATTACTTTTTTAGTGTTGGTTTTGTCATGTGCTCAGAAATTGTTTATGGAGTGACTAACAATGGTTGACAAATACCTTTGAATCGTTCCTGTGTTTATTTTTTTGGCGGACATTGAAATGCTAATTTGTGTTTTTTGTTATGAATTATTTATTTTATTCTTAACATAAGGATTGGTTAAATTGTGTGGTGCGACGATGTGGTGACGATGGGGAGGCAAATTTAAGATTTTTTGGTGGATCGGGCAGAGGACGGCGTGTGTAGAGAAATTCGCGCATACTGGAATCTTAATCGACTATGTACATGCTCAATAGTCGATTAAGCTAATCGACTATGCCCTGTTAGTCGATTAAGGTTGATCGACTCCAATTTTTTTTTTTGTTGGATTTTTTGTTTATTGATTCCAATTGTATAAATCATTTATAATGTTTGTATATTTTTTGTTTTTGTAAAATATAATTGATTTTGCATTTTTCGCAGTTGTGATTTGTTATTTTTAGTAGTAGATTCTTAAGCAACTATGCTCTGGTAGTCGATTAAGGTTGATCGACTCCAATTTTTGTTTTTTTTTGAATTTTTTGTTAATTGATTCCAATTATATAAATCAATTATTATTTTTGCATATTTTTTGTTTTTTTTTAAAATAAAGTTGATTTTGCATTTTTTTGCAGTTGTGATTTGCTATTTTTAGCAGCAGATTATTAATCGACTATGCTTTATCATAGTCGATTAATATACCTGATATAGAAAAAAAATTAAAAAAAAAAAGAAAAAATTAAAGAATTTCCTTAATCGATTATGCTTCATAGTCTATTTACCTTGATCGACAAAAAAAAAAAATCGCTGATGACCAGCACGTGACCCAATGAAAATGTGGCGGGCGGGGGCAAAGTTGGAAAACATAATGGCTGAAAATGGGTGTGAACTTTTCTCAAATGGAGCAAAATATTTTGAGTCTCTAGTAACTAGGGGTGGTAAACGAGCCGAGCCGGCTCGCGAACTCGACGAGCGAGCTTGACAAAGGCTCGAACTCGAGCTCGGGTTTTTCGAGCTCGAGCTCGAGCTCACGAGTTCGAGCTTTGGACGAGCTCGAGCTCGAGCCCAAATATAGTTGTTTGCCAGCTCGCGAGCTGATGTGTTTGTTTTTTTTTTTTTAATATTTTATATATTATATTATTATTAGTATTATTATTATTATTATTATTATTATTATTATTATTATTATTATTATTATTATTATTATTATTATTATTATTATTATTATTATTATTATTATTATTATTATTATTATTATAAATATAAAATATTATAATAATAATATAAAAATAACTTAAAAAAATTAAAAATATATATAACTACACTTTATTATTTATTTTATAATTTTTTTCATTATACTATAAATATTTTAATTTTTAATAAAAAAATAATAATAAAAAAAAAGCAAAAAAAAAAAACATACTGAGCTCGAGCTTGAGCTCGTCAAAATTGGCTCGAGCTCGAGCTCGAGCTCGGCATAGTGGACTCGAGCTCGAGCTCGAGCCTGCCAAAACAACCGAGTTCGGCTCGTTCACACCCCTGACTCTCTCCCCTATTAAAAGAAGTAATGAGGGGGTTTCCTCAAAAAACCCATTTTTTATATAGTTTTTGAACATATTTGGTAAATAAATCTAAGAGCTTATGTGAAATTCGTAACTAAGATCCTTCGAACCTTAATAAATAGGGTAAATTCCACTTTTCCCTTGTACTTTGGCTCTGTATCACTTTATTCCCTTCTACTCTCGATTGCATCAATTTGACCCCCTATACTTGAAAATTTGTCTCAATGTGGCACTCGTTGCTAGTTGTCAAACATTTAATCTTAACACCGTTTGATCAAAACTCTGAAATTACAAAAACGCCACATCTCCCAGTTTAAATATTATTTAAAAACAATAAAACAATTAAAAAAACAAAAAAATAAAATAATAAAAAAATCAAGAAACGAGAAAGCATAGTCCACGACGCCAGCCACAATTTATTTTTTATTTTTTTAATAATTATTTAAATTGAGAGGGGTGGCTTTTTTTGTAATTTTCAGACTTAGATCAAACGGTTTTAAAGTCAGAGATCTGAAAACTAACGGGGGCCATATTGAGACAATTTTTCAAGTACATGGAGACAAATCGATGCAATCAAGAGTAGAAGGGATTAAAGTGATATCAAACCATAGTACAAGGGAGAAAGTGAAATTTATCCTAATAAATAAGTTAGAAATACTTCATTAGGCTCACTTATTTGAAGTGTTATTATTTGTTATATCATTGTATACAAATTTATATTTTTAGAAATTCTCAGCAAAATAAACTCTTACAATTTACGATTCATTAACATTTACGATTTATAAATTTAGCAAATTTTTTTTTTTATTTGATTTGCTATTTAAGAACCATGCAAATAGTAATGCATGCCAATAATTTAATAAAACTATAATATTATTTAAACTTTCGCAACTGTTATTCTTAGGTTAAGATAACCAAGGTATGCTAAAATAACTTTAAGATCCCTGTAGGATCGGTAATTACAACTATCCATGAAACAATTGTTAGAAACCTAACAAAATAATGCATTGAGTAAGTTATTGCGTTAGGGTTCTAATGAGCTATTAGTTTCAGACAGTGGTGAAGACAACATAGAGAGGTAGGGGTGACATGGTTCTACTAACATTTCATAAATCCTTATTATTTATAGGGCAAATTGCACATCACCACCTATAAATTTCTAATTTTCGCACTTTATCCCCTCAAAAATTTTAAAAGTGAATGTCCCCCTTCAAAATATTAGTTTTGTTGCACATTGCCCCGATAGAAAAATTCCAATGGATTATTCATCGGGATTGAGTATTTTTGGTGCACGTTGCCCCTTTAAAAGTTATTTTTATTGCACGTTGTCCCTTAAAAACATTACTTTTTTACATATTGCCCCTGTAAAATGTTAATTTTACTGCACAATGCCCTCCAAAATTTGGCTTATGGGGCAAAGTGCAATCAATATAATATTACGAAGGGGGAATATCCATTTAGGGGAAAAATTCGAAAAACAGAAATTTATAGAGGGCAAAGTGCATTTTGTCCTATTTAATATAATATTTATAAATTTTCGTCTATGTAACGGCCCAGGGGGAAACAAATATAGTGGATATCGATCCCCAATACATGAAATCTTGGCTCCGATAATTGTTTCAGAGTATGGCTGTAATTACCAATACTACTTGAACCTTAAAGTTATTTTAACATATTCAAGGTGTAGGTGTAATTTACCCTATTTTTTATGAATGACCAAAAAACATAACATTACTTGAGAATATATTAGTTATTTTTCGAGGAAATTACAGTTTTCATCCCTCAAGTTTGAACCGATTTCAAATTCGGCCCCCCATGTTCACAAAAAATTACTTTTATTCCCTCATGTTCCAATAATTTAACATTTTTGGTCATTTCCGTCAATATACCATTAGTTCGTTGGTAAAGGCAGTGATGGGCACAAGCTTGATTCCGTTAGTTTTCAACGGGCTAAAAGTGTTGAATTTTTGCAACATAAGGGACCAAATTTGTTTTTTGTGAATATGAGGGGCCAAATTTGAAATTGGTGCAAACTTGAGGGCCAAAAACTCTATTTTTCCCTTTATTTTTCCTTTTCTTTTACTGTAGCACTTCTTCACCCGGCACTGGCAGATAATTTCTCTTCGCACAATCTCTGAAGAAGATGAAGGAATCTGGAATGGCTCTGATTCGTAGAGTAATTGCTGCTAATCATGGTTACGGTATTTATGCCGATCCTTTTTCTCTCTTCCGTTCAAGTTTTCATAGTTTCGGTGAAAAAGATATGCCCTTTTCACCCAATCCCAGAATCGATTTGAGTTGTATTAAAGAAGCAGACGACGCCATTTTCTTGTTTCGTGAAATGGTAAGAATGCAGCCACAGCCTCCCGTCTTCGAATTCACCAAACTATTGCAAGCTGTTTTCAAGATGAAGCAATACTCTGTTGCTCTTCAACTGTTCGACGAAATGCGTCAATGGGGCGCCCCTGTAAATGAGTACACAATGAGCATCTTGATTAATTGTTGTAGCCTTTTGAATAGGGTAGACCTTGGTTTCGCTATCTTCGGCTGCTTCTTTAAACACGGTTACGAGTCAAACGTCGCGACATTCACCACTCTCTTGAAAGGGCTCTTTCTAGTCGATAAAGTGGCCGAGGCAGAAAAATTGTTCAAGAAAATTTTGACATTGAAACTTTGTGAGCCTAACGATGTTATGATTCTTACGGTGATAGACGGGTTCTGCAAATCCGGACACGTTCTTACTGCCCACAATTTGCTCTCGGCATTCGAAGAAACAATCTACAAACCCAATGCCAAAGCTTATACCACAGTAATCGACGGCTTGTGCGATTTCGGTAGATGGAAGGAGGTGAAAGACTTATTAAAAAGAATGGTCAATCACAAGATACCTTTAGATGTTGTTACGTTTAGTATATTGGTCGACGCACTTTGCAAGGAAGGATCTATCGAAGAGGCTGAGGATGTTTTGAAAATCATGAAACAACAAAACGTATGTCCGAATATTATCACTTACACCGCACTGATCGGCGGGTACTGTTTGCAAGGGAAAATGAAAAAAGCAAGACGAGTATTCGATTCGATAGTGGACAAGGGCTTTAAGCCATCTGTTGTCACCTACGGCACTTTCATCAACGGGTACTGTTTGCAAGGGAAAATGAAAAAAGCAAGACGAGTATTCGATTCGATATTCGGCAAGGGCATTAAGCCATCTGTCGTCACATACAACACTTTAATCAACGGGTATTGCAAGAAGGGAGAAGTCGATGAAGCTTGGCGTCTTTTTCTCGAAGTTTCTTCTAAAGGTTTAGAGCCCACGACGGTTACCTATAGCGCTATGATACATGGATTACTTAGTAAAGGCAGAATTGGCGATGGATGGAAACTGTTTAACGATATGGAAGCTCGACAAGTGCGCCCTAATTTAGTTACTTACAATATTTTGCTCGATAGCTTGTGCAGGAACCGACAGATTGCTGAAGCATTTTCGTTTCTACGCATGATGGAGGATAAAGGGGTAACTCCGAATATAATCACTTACGGTATCCTCATTAGTGGTTTGTGTAAAGATGGGAAACTTGACGACGCGAGAAATCTTTTGAACGGACTTCCTTCGAAAGGTTTGCAACCTAATGATTATATGTATAACATCGTTATTGGTTCACTTTGTCGAGAAGGGTTAGTAGAGGAGGCGAAAGGTTTGCTTATAATCATGGAGAGAAGTGGTTGTGTGCCCGATACCGTGACGTACAACCACATTATCCAAGGTTTGCTAAAGAGGAATGAAATTTACAAGGCAATGCCGTTCTTAGAGGACATGTCGGAAAAGGGATTCTTTGCCGATGCAGCTACCTCGTCCATGTTGATTAATCACCTGCAAGGATCCGAGAAAAATGACATTCTTCACGAAATGATTAAGAAAGTTGTGCCGAAAATATAAAATTATCTATTTGGGCTTCGGTAGATGGAAACTGGGAGTCTAGGAGCGATAAATTTCGCCTTTTAGTGCAAGGTGAAATAGTTAACCCATCTAATTTAGAAAATTATGTATATATCCCTATAAGTTTGATATTAGCTAATACTTAACTCATTTGACCATTGACTTTTTTTGAAATTCTATTTTTTTACCCTTCACCAAATATTGATTGAATTAAATGGTCCCCAAGGTTAAATCTAGTTCCGTAGATATCCCTTGTATTTCAAAAAATATTACAGAAAACTCCCTTAAAGTTTAATTTTAGGGTAAATTGCACCTACACCCCTGAGGTGTGCGTTAACTTTAAGGTCCCTATAGTATCGGTAATTACAATCACCATTTGAAACATTGTTAGAAACCCTAACGGTGCATTGAATAAGTTATTTCGTTAGGGTTCTAACGGACTATTAGTTTCAGACATTGGTGGAGACAACATAGAGCTAGGGGGTAACATGACTCTCCTAACATTTCTTAAATCCTTATTATTTTATATAATAAAGTTCGCTCATGGTAGCATTAACGGCCCCACGAAAAACAAGTATAGTGCATATCGGTCCTCATGACATAATTTGCCAAATTATAATGATTTTAGCTGTAATTGCAACAAACTTTAAGGGAAGTAGGTGTAGTTTACCTATTTTGTATTTTTTTTTATTATTAATTGTGCTTTTTTTGGTGTTCAATTTTTCTTTTCTTTTTTTCATTTTTTTTCTGAGGAAGAAATTTTCAATCCTTCACTAAAAAGGTTGAATGAGAAATGAAGAATATGGTGAACCGAGACGACTTCTGAATTAAAAAAAGTGTATGATGTGATTCGAATTGGGTACCTCGGGAGTTGAGCTAGATAATTGACGAGAATGCGAGTTTATTGTAGATGAGCTTCAAGTTTTTTTTTTTTTTTTGTTTTTTGTTGAGAAATAGCTTCAAGTTGACCAAATGGAAAAGGTATATTTGTCTTTCAGTCTTACTTGCAGAATATACTAATATACTAAGATGATGTTTGATAAACTTTTAGAAACAACTTTTCAGGTTTTATTTATTCATAATATGTGTTTAGTTCTTTGTAAAATCAGCTTTTGCTTTTCGCAAAAAAGTTGCTTTAAGCTATTTTTTTATAAGCACCTCTAGACCTGTTTTTTCTATTGAAGTTGATATTCCAGTATATTTGCAAACACCCCATACTTTTAGAAATAAGCACTTACTCACAATCAATAACTTCTGTTTTCAAATAAACTATTGCAAACACCACCTAAAAACACCAAATGACACGCTAGATAATTTTCCAATTGATGTGGCCTATATAGCCAGGGTATGTAAGGGGAAAAGGTAGTGTTCAAGAGGTGCTGAAAAGCCCAAAGATCACTCCGGATAAAAGCCCAATGAACCTACAAAAAAAGAGTGTCGGGGAATGGTCTCCCGGAATTAGCACGCCGACGAGCAAGTTAGTCGGAATTTAGATGAAGGGAAAAATATGTAGTGGGAAAAGTAAAGTGATCCAATTGGTTATATTTTCTTATACCTCAAGACTGTTATTTATACATGCCCAATGAGTGAGGTGGTGGGGCCACCTTTTTCTTTTCCCATGTTCCCCCCACGTGGGGGTGGCACGACTTCCTCAAACTGTTTGTCTGTAGGAGGCAGGCTTTCCTTCAGTGCAATGGGCTGGACTAGCTTCTGAGAGAACAACTTGCAGGTGGCAGAAGAGCGCGCTATTGAGCTCGCTCTTCTTCGAGTCCTCTGTTGACTATATCACTGTCTATATCACTGTAGGCTTTCTACCTTTGTTACAGTCGTTAATGTGGTCACATCTGTCAGCTGCCGTCTACTCCACGTGTCACATCTGTCAGATGCCGTCTACTTCACGTGGGATAGGTGTCGGCCTGTCTCGTTACGCGCATGGTCCTATATTCCTGGACTTCTTTGTGCGGGCTTTAGTTAATGACCGCAAGGGCAATTAGGCCCGTATTACCAATGATTACACTCAGACACTCAAAATCAGATATTGCAAGTTGATGGTAAGCATACTTTTAAAATGTAGAAGTGATCAACTTTTTATAGTTGAATGCTAGGTGATTGTTTCGTAAACTATCGGTGTGGGGTTTGCAACATTCGTTTCATATATATGAGACTTAAGAATTGAGCCAACTGGACTGGAGTCCAACTTTGTTAGATTTCAAGAGCTTTGTAATCATTTGACAGTGTGGACGAGGTACTATCTATGTAGCACGAAAACTTCAGCTTGTTAACGTATCCGTGTTTCGGGCTCGTTTCATGTCGGAAATTTCGAGGACACCTGCCAGACACCTTATGACCATTTTGTAATTTCTGAAAAGTTAGAAACATGTTCAAATAGCAAATTTCCAAATACTTTTATTGATTTCCTAACTATGTACATAATTTAATGATAAATTTCGAATTTATAGTTGATAGTAATATTTTGAATATATTTGTATCAAATATATATAAATAAATAAAATGTTATATATGTTTATTTAGCATTTTTATAAATATAGCCTAATACTTTTAATATTTACATGTTTCCCCTAAGTTCGCGTATCCCCATTTTCGCAACATGTTGTTTTCCCGTGTCCGTTTTTCCGTTTTTCCGTTTCCCCGTGACGATGCTCGAATTTCGCACCCTCAAGACCTTCTCTGAAACTATTTTGAGCATTGCCGGAGAATCTACCACCAGCCGGATCGGACAGCGGTGGCTAGATGTATAAAAAATAAAATAAAGTTTGTAGAGAAAAAGTAAAGAAATATATTATTGATGTATTAAAAACGTAACCCTAATGAGGGTTTTACATATGTTTATATAGGTGAATTAATATTCTAGACATTTTTCTATAATCAAGAGGCGTGTAATCAGCGAATTATCTCTAAATTACACGTTTCCTTATTACCTTATTCGATTTAATATCCTTTCCTTGTAAAAGATATCTTCTTTCCTTCTTCTTCGAGTCTTTCCATGCAGTTTGCGCCTTGTCATACGAGCTAAGGCCTAATTTGGGCCATCAATTAGTACAAACTCCTCCGGCCCAGCTCGTGTTTCCTCCTCTAGCATACTTCCTTGGGCCCAGCCCAAGCCTGCCAAAATGGGCCCCATCATCTACTCCGCCCTATTCTCTAGTGAACCTAGATAAGTGGTTCGCTTGAGAATATGAAAAGTCAGAAATCCACCATTTCTTTTTCTTTTTGGGCCGAAGCCGCGGGGATCTTCCAACCCTTATCAAACACTTTCAACTACCTTTTGTGCCGAAGCCGCGGGGATCTTCCAACCCTTTTAAACACTTTCAACTACCTTTTGGGCCAAAGCCGCCGGGATCTTTCAACCTTTCTCAAATACTTCAACTACCTTTTGGGCCGAAGCCGCGGGGATCTTCCAACCCTTATCAAACACTTTCAACTACTTTTTGGGCCGAAGCCGCGGGGATCTTCTAACCCTTTTAAACACTTTCAACTACCTTTTGGGCCGAAGCCGCGGGGATCTTCCAACCCTTATCAAACACTTTCAACTACTTTTTGGGTCGAAGCCGCGGGGATCTTCTAACCCTTTTAAACACTTTCAACTACCTTTTGGGCCGAAGCCGCGGGGATCTTCCAACCCTTATCAAACGCTTTCAACTATCTTTTGGGCCGAAGTCGCGGGGATCTTCCAACCTTTAGCGAACTTTTTTATTTTATTTTTTTATTTAACATATAGCGAAGATACATATACGATCTCATGCATGATGAAATCTAATAGATAATTGAGCTTATGATAAATTGAATCAAAAGAATTTATTTTTCAAGAATTTAATTTTGACAGATAGCTGCAAACTTTTTGAGACATATGCAAGCATATAATAACTTTTCAGAAACACTTTTAGATAATTTGGATTTCAATAAAGGCGAGCTGAAATAAATTCAAGTATCAGCGAATAAGTTCCAAGTCATGGAGTCATGTACTAAGATATTGAAGTCAAATATTAGGTTTCATGATGGTGAATCCTTAAGAGAAAATAGGCATTTATTGTAGTTTTAAAAAGACTAATGCGAGTACCCTTAAATAAATTAGGGTTACCAAACTCAAATGCAATCTCATGGGAAGTCAAATTGAAGCATACTTGCCCTATTAAAGCGAGCTCGATGATAAATTCAAGTTTCAATAGATCCATGCTATAAGGGATACTATTGAATCGTATAGCGAGCTAGCGATTTAATATTTTTTTTAAGATACGTATCACATAAGCTATTTGGCGTATAATTTTTGTTTAATACAAGATATACAACAAAGATGTACATGCAATCTTCCTTAATAATCGAGAAGCACTACAATTCACATATCATGCAAATTTCGAACTTAAATGTAGAAAGAACTTTATAAAGAATTTCTGCAAATTATTGAGGCTAAAGGTCAAACTTACCTTGCGCCTATTGCGAAACGAGCTCTCATGAGTTCGAAACTGAAGGGATTGATGCGAGCTCTATAGAATGAATGCGAGCTAATATACGAGCTCCGGTAAATAAACTCAGATAAGCACCGAGCTCCAATAACAAATAGTCGAGTTGCTAGCAAAGGTTAATTCATATAATTTTAATACTAACGAACTCATCAACGCTGATGTTCGATAGATAGGCGAGCTGCAACAAAAGATTGGCTCAAACAATTCTAATAATAACGAACTCATTAATATCGAGTTCTTGTAGACCGGCGGGCTGCAAGGAAATATTAGCTCAAATAGTTCTAATAATAACGAACTCATTAATATCGAGTTAGTAGGCAAACGAGCTGCAAAGAAATATTAGTTCAAATAATTCTAATAATAACAAGCTCCCCTAGATAGGGAAGCAAACTGAAGGATAAATAAGCCTCTCAATAAACTCCGAGCTTGGTTAGGCGTTGCGAGCTTAATAAAATGGGGATTTGGTGCGATTTCCGCGAGAGCAACTAGGCTAGGAGATAGGGTGTAAGTTGATGTTCCCTCGAGCCTTATTCTGCAAGTTTTAATTAGTACCGAAATCCGAACATATATTTGGGCTCGAAATAAAATAAACATGTATTTAAAGAAATCAAAAAACCTAACTTAACTTAGTGCCAATGGGCAATCCACAACAGAAATACGCGAGTTCAGAAAATTATAATAAGTGATAGTTCATTTAAGATAATTCTAACTTCAAAATAAAGATGAATTCAAAATAATTTAAGCATGAGATAGATTCATGCATAAACGAAAAAGTAATAATAGTTCATCATGGGAGATAAAGCACCTCACCGGGACACAAGTCCTTAAAATTGCCAAATTGGCATATC